CTACCCTCCACACAGGAAATATCTTCGTTTCGCCTACCAAGGCGTTTGTTACGAATTCACAGTTCTTCCGTTCGGGTGCAATTTGAGTCCCCGAACTTTCTGTCTGTGTGTGGAGGTGGGCGTGGCGCCCCTGAGACTATCAGGGCTGAGAATTCTGACTTACTTGCTCATCATAGCCAAATCAAAGGAGAAGGTGTCGCTGGACACCGGCCGGGTGCTCGCGCACATCACATCCCTCGGGTTCAAGGTGAATGCGAGCGAAAACAATCTGACTCCCAGTCAGAATGTCATTTTCCTGGGCTTGGAATTGAACTCAGTCTCCATGCGAGCGCGTCTCTCTCAAGAGCGCGTTCGCTCGCTGATGGACTGTCTGTCTCAGTTCAGTGAAGGGGCGAGAGTACAATATCGCACATGCCTCAGGCTGCAGGATCTCATGGCTTCATCTATCCAAGTTGTGCCATTGGTCTCCTGAGAATGAGAACGTTCACGAAATGGGTTTTGTACACTACATTTCAGCCCGATTTGCGATCTCTGCCGCTCGGTAACGATGACGCGCGCCTGCTCGGCGGCCTTGCGCCATTGGGTGAGCGAGAACTTTTACGCACGGGGAACCCCCCCTCGGGACGGTACGATGCGAAAAGTTTTGACGACAGATGCGTCCTTAACAGGCTGGGGAACCACCCAGGAAGGCAGAACGGTGAACGGTCTGTGGCTGAGCAGACTACGTTCAGCGCACATTAACTATTTAGAGCTTTTACTATTTGGAAAGCTCTGAATCATTTTCTGCCTTGCCTGCAGGGACATCCTGTTCTAGTACGGTGCGATAATACCACGGTAGTGGCTTATATCAACCGTCAGGGTGGCATGCGCTCGTCAAAACTCCACGCTCTAGCTTACAGGCTTTTGGTGTGGAGCAGACAGGTTTTTCTGTCATTACGCGTGACTCATGTCCCGGGCATTCGGAACAGAGGCGCGGATCTGCTATCGAGGGGAAACCCAATCCACGGGGATTGGCGTCTTCACCCGCAGATAGTGGAGAGGTTATGGATGAGATGGGACAGGCAGCCGTAGATCTTTTCGCCTCGCGCGAAAATCACCATTGTCCTATGTTCTTCTCGCTAAAGGACAGAAGAACCTTCCCTGCCTCGGGGCAGACGCACTGGCCCACCCATGGCCCAAAGTGCTGTTGTATGCTTTTCCTCCCCTGTGCCTGATAATTTTCACTCTGGCCAGGGTGAGAGAGCACGGCCTGTCTCTCACTCTAATAGCACCCAGGTGGCCCAAAGCCCCATGGCTGGCAGAGATAATCCCTCTGTTATACGCCGAGCCATGGCGCCTCCCCCCTCGCACGGACATACTGTCCCAAGCCAACGGGGAGATTTACCACCCCCACCCGGACAGGGTGGCTCTCTGGGCCTGGCCCGTGAGAGGACGAACCAAAATGCACTGGGGCTCCCGCCGCGTGTAATCGCCACTACTCAGAAGGCCAGGGCCGTTTCCGCGCGATCCCTATATGGCTGTGAGTGGCAAGTGTTCGAAGGGTGGTATGATGGGCGTGGTTTCACATCTTATCAGTGCTCGGTGCCTGATATTTTGTGTTTCCTGCAAGACCTCATGGAAAGAGGCAGGTCCTTTTCCACTATTAAGGTCTACCTGGCTGCGATTTCAGCCTGTCATGTGGGTTTTGGGGCTCCACCGTCAGGCAGCACCCTCTAACCCGCAGATTTATGGAGGGTGCACGCCGCTCTTTGCTGGTCATCAGGAGATCTGTTGAATCTGTCCCAGAGTGGGACCTCTCCATGGTGCTGGAAGCGCGGTCTCTGTATCCTTTTGAGCCTCTGGGGAGTATTTCCCTTAAGCTGCTGTCCCTCAAGACAGCTTTGCTCTCGGCCTTGGCATCTGCTAAACGGGTCAGTGAGCTACATGCACTCTCGGTTCACCCCTCGTGCGCCAAATTCTCCCTAAGTGGAGATAAGGTTTTCCTTAAGCCTAACCCGGCCTTCATGCCGAAATGCTTCCCTGCGTTCACGTCGGAGATTTTGGAGCTATCCGCTTTTCACCCTCCACCCTTTGCCTCCCCGGAGGATCAGGGGCTGAATGCTCTGTGTCCCGTCCGTGCTCTGCAAGCATAATGACCAGGACCAGTGCTTTCCGCAAGAGCGACCAGCTCTTTGTTTCTAGGGCTCCCCTGCACAAGGGGAGTCCCATTTCAAAGCAATGCCTCTCACATTGGCTTGTGGACGCTATACTATGGCTTATGAAGCAAAGGGAGTGCAGCCCCAAGGGGCATCAGAGCTCATTCCACAAGGGGCTTAGCCGCCTCTTGGGCTTTGTTCAGGGGAGTGCCACTGCAGGACATCTGCTCCGCGGCCAGCTGGGCCTCTCCTCATACCTTTGAGCGTTACTACCGGTTGGATGTCACCAGAACTTCGGTGGCACACTCGGTCCTAGGGGTAGGGTCCTCTTAGCCCTTTCCCACAGCCCCGTTTGGTTAACCAACGAGGAGTGAATGGGCCGGCTGGCCATGTTCATTCCTGTCACCAAGCATTCGCATTCCTTCTTGGGTTTAGCTATGTGCATTGGTGGTGCGGGGGCCATTATCATGTATGTGTCTCATGCATGTTTCATGCCCTGCTTGTCCACAGCAGTTAGCGTGGCGGAAAACTTGCAGGGTCATGTTTGTGGGACGTGTCAGGCACCGCCTCTCTGAGGTGACCGTCCTTCTCTGGCCTTCAGAACCTCACTGTGAGTGTATTGGGCAATCGGGGAGCTGTCCATGTCTCTCCCATAGGTGGATCTCGAAACGAGATGATGAAAGAGAACAATAGGTTACTGTCGTAACCCCGGTTCTCTGAAACATCGAGTGGAGAGATCCACCAGCCTTGCCCCGCTTGCCGCACGAGAAGCGAATATACTGACTGAGGAATAGCAGCGCGCCCAGCTGTGATATGCCCGTAGGTAAGGGGGTGTGGCCTCACCTGGCATTGGCTGCGCGCTTCTGTCTGTTAGCCAGACTTGGTGCAATTGGATGCTTCTGCAGAGGTCAGGTACGGATGCCCTTCCCATAGGTGGATCTCTCCACTCGATGTTTCAGAGAACCGGGGTTACGACAGTAACCTATTGTTATCAATACTTTTCACAATTAATCGCAGCTGCCATAAAATAATTTGTGCAGCCCTAGTGTATGAACATGAAATACCAAATCACATGACAAAAACAGTTCCAGTACCCATTATATGTTTGATGAAAACTATGGTTAGTGGTAGTAACAGTATAGGTGTTTCATATTGTAATACATGTGGCCTACATATCAAACTCTTATGATCTGTATGTCATGCAGGTTTTAAAGACTTTCTAGTCTCTAACTACTTAGGATATTATAGTTTTTAATGTTAACCAATGGATTAAATAAATGTAAACTAGATCAAACAAGAACATTTGGAGAACCTTATGGTTGCAGAGAGAAACCACCTCAAAATTACCCATGAGTCATATGCTGCACATTTTAATCCAAAATGGATTTTTGATGATTTGCTACCTGTTCATTAAAAGAATGAATGTCAGTCACCTGTCAACAGGAAATCCTCCCCCAGGAATTCCAGTGCAGTCACTGGAGCAACAAGCACAGCGATCTCCATCACAGCAGACCCCACAGGAGATGCCATCTCACTCGGTCCACACCACAGGCTGAAGACTTCTAGAGCACAACAAAAATATTACAGCATTTTTTTTAAATTACTGTATGACTTCCTGAAGTTTTTCACATGCAGAAGTCTCTGACAAATAAATAAATAAATGAGAATAAATGCATAATGCTCGCAATGGCCTTTACTATACTATTAAATCAAATCAGTGTAGTTATATCAGTCCAGGGCTACATTCTCACGCTGATCAAGTGTTCATCTGGGTGAGGGTTTTGTGAGTTCATTAAAAGCTAATGAAATGTATATATATATATATATATATATATATATATATATATATATATTAATATGTTTGGAGGTGTGGTAAACATAGGTGGAATAATTGATTCTGGGCCGCTGAATTATTAGAAAAATAATGCACATTGCACAACATTCCTCAAGTGTGCATTCTTTTTCTAATAACTCAACGGCCCATCATCAACTATTCCATATATATAAATCATATACAAACATTTTATTTTGTGAGTGAGATTTATATTATTTTTCTAAATCATAATAAAACCCTGACTAATTTTTTTTTATTTTCATTTTTATTATGCATACATTCATGTCATTTGTCTAATAACTGACCTTAGAGAACAGTGAACATACTTCGGGTAAACATTTTATGTCAGAGGGGTACAGCTGACAAAAGTGTAGGATTATTAAGGTGATGTCAAGTAAACAAACACCATTAATTGAGTAAGTGAACAGTACTAAGTAAGTTAATCTTACCCTGTTAGTTGCTGTGTTTTGGAACATGACAGTTGATTCTAACTGGCCAGAGATTAATAAAAAATGGTCCAATCTTGTCATTAGCTGGTCTAACATTATTAACTGGTTTAAATGGGAAGTTTAATTAGTTAAATGACCGTCTAACGTACACGTTCCAAAAGATAGGTTTTGTACCGGTTTATTGCTACCTTTTTATTGAAAGTAAAACTTCAGTCACCTTTTAACAGGACACGGTTACCATACATTGTATTTTCCAGCAGGGATAATCTCCATGTTTTTATCATCGTAACAACACCTCTATCGAGCTCAGTTTCACTTACGCGTCCCCTGTAGAGATCGTTATTTTGAGAGGAGGTGAAATGGAAAACTTGAGTATTTTTCTTTCATACTAGATCCAGACCAGTAGCCACAGTCGCATCTCTGTTCAACATGTTTCGTTCTGCAATCTAACGTTACATGCATGTGTTTCTCGCTTCCTCGTTGACATCGCGCAGCGTCCAATCGCGCGGTTCAATACTGAACAGACTGCACCACACTGGCGGTCAATTGGATGAAACGAGTCCTGCGCTTTCGACTGTTAAAATGCGTAGATTTGTATATTTTGCCTGATGCACAAACCATATGTGTTGAACAGATCTAATGAGAATGGTATACAAATCATATGAAATGCACAAACGGGTGAATTGCCATTCTTTTTTTTACGCCCGGAGCGTCTTTTTGCGCATGTGTCTCCAGTCTGTTGTTTAAATTTCTTACGGACCGCTTAAACCCAGGGGGTGGGGACAAAGTGTAATATATTCGGGATAAAATCGTCAGACTGATGATTGCATGTAAGTAGGGTCAATATAAATGATATAATATCAGTTTGTCTTAGCGGTTGTGTAATGCACGAGAGGTTCATTAAGAACAGTGAGCTCAAGCTGTAACGTTAGTCTTACATCGCAGATCGCAGCTCGGGTTTACTTCTGTAGTGCGATGCTCGGGTTTAGCGCTGTGGCTAACCAGACAGTGGATTCGTAATTATAATAATTCAAATAAAATGCAGCCTGCTCCACCCGCACCTGTAGTACTAGACAAGTCGTGGATTTAAAAGCTTATTTTTGCTTTGTTCGTTCTCTTGCGTGTAATAATAGCGATGCGATTCCTATACGAATTATTCTTTTGAGTCTGATCGATGCAATGAGTCGGTTCAGTCCGGTTTTGTGAACTGGTTCACAAAACCGGAGTGAATCGTAATGAGTCAAGAAACGAGCCGAGAATGAAAGCATAGGATTTGAGCTATATTACTTCAATAACTAAACAGCAGATTTGCTATAAAATAAAACTGCACATGGAAATATGTGTACTAACTGTGTAGCCTACTATTATCAACGAATACGAAACCGAGTTGGTTTTAATAAAATATCATTTTTCAAATGCAAAGGTGCAAAAACTTTTTCAACCAAGAGATGTAAACGAATATTACCTTACATTGTACATACACATTACATTTAGTTTATAAATTACTTATATATATGTTTTAATTAATTACATTTTATGAGCTGAATAATGGTTGTTAAAAACTTGGACAAATAAAATTACAAGGAAGATTAAAAATGAATATTTACAAAATGTAATCGAAAAAAGAAATAAATATACAGCAAAATAATAAACGGCATTATATTCCTATGCTTTAACGACGACGTCACGACGTAGAAGAACTGCTGAACGTTTTTTAATGAACCGGTTCTTTGAAACGAACAGTTCAAAAGAACCGATTCTCAGAAATTAATATATGGAGCACATGGGTTTTTTCCCCCCAAAGATCAAATGTTTCATTCATTCTTCCAAGAGGTGGAGCAAATATTAAGATTTAAAAAACTAGTCCCTTCATTTTGCTTTCTGTCTGCTGAATTACAGACTTCACATGTGTGCCTGGTGACCCCTTGCGCATCAGGTGGACCCCAGATGCATTTCCGTTGAGCACCGATGATCAAGCGACCTCACACACTCGTATTTACCTGTGGCATCCAGAGTTTAACATATCACTGCACCTGAAACTCTGGAAGCGCACTGCACATAACGGGACCAAACCGACCTTACCTTCCTGTAATGCTGGAGTGTAAAACTCAAAAACTGACACTGTGATACTGCCAATGTTGCCATGTAAAACTATACATGTAACACTTAAAGTTTTTAAACTAGACTGTTCTGTTGAATATAAAAACAAATAGTGATTTTATAGATTTTCTATAAATGAAGTAACACATAGTACCTCAACATAAGCCTTTGTACAAATACACACAAATACACTCATGCTGACCACCATGACGTACCGCATGCCAAACTTCACTCTGGAGCAAAAGCTTTTCCTGCTTCGGAGAATCCATGCGGTGGTGGACACAGTCCAGGACTTTCGGAAAGACACCAACACTACTGTGCACCGGAACGCTGTATGGGCAGAGCTGGCTCAGGCCTTCAATTCGGCGTTCCCTAGTCGACCCCCCAGCAGCATCGGGTCTCTGAAGACGCTGTGGAAACGACTGAAGGTGGAATGTCGTGTAGCGCTGCAGAAGAGACAGGAACAGCAGGCTGCTGGGCTTCCTGTGTCTGCCCTCACTCAGGTAAATTGAAGTATTTCTTATGTGTCTGTAATTCAGTTATATGCTTTGGAACTTCTAGTCGCAGAGTTCCATTTGCTTTTAGAGTCAACGCAGTGTGGTTGTGTGTGGTTCTGTCAGGTGCAGAGAGAAGTCATTGCCCTGGTGCCAAACCTGATCTCCTGTCTGGAGGAGGTAGATGGAGATGGCAGCTATGCCTCAGTTAGGGGCGGCTCACCTGGAGCAGGTAATTAATAGTCATGTCATCTCTACTACAGGATGAAATACTACCCCTCTGCCCAGAGCCGGATTAACGCAAAGGCAAACTAGGCACGTGCCTAGGGCCCGATTGGCGGGATGGGGCCCAGACAGAGGGACAAAAAAAAAAAAAAAAAAAATGTACCTACAAATGTCCTATCTACAATTTATTTAAATATTTATTAATTAACTAAAAATAGTGACGATGTTTATCTTAACCATAGACTGTTACATTACGTCACATTAACGCCAGCCCATCAGGTGCTGCGAAGCAAAAGCCTAAATAAGCACGCAAAGAAGCACAGCTCGTAATGCAGGTGTGTGCGTTGTCGTCATCTATTTTGGAGTGATTGATTGCAATGTATTCTAAATATAAACTTGTACTGTAGATCTGCGTCATTTCTGGAAAAACCATTCACCGCTTTATTACGAGTTTAAAAGAGCGCGGGCGTCATTAACGTGCCCAGACGCGACGCTTTGAATTTGCGCGTACAATGAATAACATCGCGTCGGGAGCTGACTAAAAACGCTACAAAAGTAAAAGACAAGACGTTTGTATTCAAAGTTAAAAAGCCAACACACTACAACATTTTTAAATGTTTCAAATAAAGGATCTCGGGTCTATCTTCTAAATTCTGCTGATGATTAGATTATAGGGCTACCCTGTCTGACATCAGCCTACTTACGCCAATAATATCAGTTTAGAATTTCTTTTTCTAATCAGTAGCGACCGTGTCTTTCTCTTCCACTTGATTTGTGTATAGCAATTTAAGCAAGCAATGCAATGCATAATATCATATTACTTATATTAATAATATGACAATATCTGCAGTCAATATTGATTAAATGGGAGGGGAAAATCCTGGCCATACCAGCTATGAAAAAAATGATAAAAGCATATATCACTGAAGTGGTATTCTGGAACTGTGAATAAATTGAATAAAACAGCAAAATAACAATAACAATAAAATCTTCATTAAACAAAAAAGAGATTACCTTAGATGAAGTTTGATTAATATGTACATACAGTAGGCTACTGGTAAAAAGTCTGGACAGATTACTATTTTTAATGTTTTTGAAATAAGTTTTTTATTATGCTCTACAAGCCTGCATTTATTTGATCAAAAAAACAAAAAACAAAACAAAAAAAAACAGGAATATTCAGCAAGGATGTGTTAAATATATAAAAAGTGATAGTGAAGACAAAAAAAAACAAAAAACTTTTTAATAATAAAAAAAACCCTGAAAAAAAGTATCACAGGTTATAAAATAAATATTAAGCACCATTTCTAACATTTGATAATAAATCTGAATATTATAAAGTTTTCTGAAGGATCACATGACACTAAATTCAGCTTTGCATCACAGAAATATATTTTGAAGTATAGTAAAATAGGAAAACCATTATTTTAAATTTTTAATAATATTTCACTATATATTATTTTTCTGTATTTTTGATCAAATAAATCCAGGCTTGATGAGCGCAAGAGACTTCTTTCAAAAACATTAAAAATAGTAATGTGTCCAAACGTATGTACTGTGTAAGTAAAAACATTTAAAATTAAATGTTGTATAAATTAAAAGGTTAGGAATCATATATGTTTTAAGAGTTTTTTATTGGGGATGGGGGGGCCTCCAACATGAATATTGCCTAGGGCCTCCAAATGTCTAGAACCGGCCCTGCCTCTGCCCAGCTGTCAACTCTGTAATTATACATGGATGAAGATTAATAGAGTCATTCTCTCTCTTGCAGTGATGGGGCTTTCAGGCTCTAATGGGAGTGAGCATGAAGATGCTGACCACAGTCAAAATGATGTAAGACTGAAATCGGCCTTGAAATGATTGCTAAAATGCCTCTTAAGCTAAATGGTTTCTTTTATATTGCAGATTTTATGACCAAAAATATGATTGACTATCTTATGATGTATAAGGCATGAAAAATGTACATGTTAAAATGTAAAGTGTTACCAGGTCAACATTTTACATGCATTTTGCAACACTGGTGAAAATGAATATACATTTATAATTATATATATATATATATATATATATATATATATTACTGTTTGGGGTAAGCATTTGTTTTGAGGAATTAATACTTTTATTCAGCATGGATTAAATTGTGACAGTAAATGCATTTTTAATGTTACAAAAATGTCAAATAAATTATGTTCTTTTGAACTTTAAAACCCTCCAGAAATAAACGTAGTTATATAATATTCTGTATTCCATACACCATTATTTTCACCAGTGTTGCAATCCCTGCATATTTCCTGTTTACTTCATGTACTGCATGCCTTTTTGACTTTTATTGCATAAATGTACAGCAATTATGATGCTGTTCAACTTACTTTTTTTTACAGGAAGTAGACAGCAAGGAGAACTTAGCCATTGAACTTGGTTTGGCTTCACCTTCTCACCTACTTTTCAACTCTGGGATTCCTCCTGGCACTGTGTCCTCTCCTCTCTGCTCACATTCAGTCTCTTCCAGGTCCAGTCGTCCCTCCCTCATCTACCCAACCCATGCAGGAAGCACCTCAGGGCTGGCATCAGGGACTAGGGGTGCAAACTTTGAGATCATACACAGAGAGCCTGCGGGGCCCCGTGCTCCTGCCAGAGGATCGGTTGAGAATTCATTGCCGCCGATGGACTCTTATACCTCAGACTCAAAATGGGAGTCACGTCGACAGGAACTGTTGGAGCTGGAGCATCAGCAGACGATGAGTCTGTTGCTGCTGCAGCAGTGTGTGTGGGAGGAGAAGAGGAAAGCAGTGAGACAGAAAGAGAAGGCGGCACGGGCCAAGAAGAGATATTATCAAGCCAAACTACGGAAGATAGGCGCGGATTATCTGCCCTCCAGTAGCGACAGCGAGGAAAACGAACATCCACAGACATGAACACAGATGTTTATGACATCTTAGCTATTTTTACTTTCATTTGGAAAGTCATTTTTTTATTCTATCAATGTTGTTTATTTACAAAACAATATATTTTTTAAACTTAATTGGTGTTTAGGAATGTACCATGTGTATCATATGGAGGGGGAATTCACTCAAGCAGGCTTCGTTCCAGTAGCAGATAGAAATCTCATCTCCTTTTATCCTCTCTCTCTCATCAACACTGGTGCTGCATTCCATTCAGTCAAAAGTCGGATATTTCTACTTAAAGGGACCAAAATTCATCATTTACTGACCCTCATGTATTTCCAAACTGTTTGAGACTTACTTTCTTCTTTTAAACACAAATAATATATTTTAAAAAGGGTATAGTTTGTCCTTAAAATGAAAGTAAATCAGGTCCTGTGTTATTTTGGACCCCATTGACTTTCACTGTATGGACAAAAACAATTTCTCAAAATATCTTTTGTGTTCTGCAGAACTTCTTTTGTGTTCTGCAAGTCATACAGATTTGGAGCAAAATAAGGGTGAGTAAATGATGACAGAAATTTCATTTTTGTGTTAATTATCCATTTAAAGGCCTGACACTCAGATGTGTATCATGAACTGTGTGTCTCACTGAGTGTCATGTTTGAGTGATATAATACAAACGAAAGTGTTGTGGAAGTTCTGAGTTGAATGGAACGCAGCATAAGGGGTCGTTCACACAGAACGCGTCTTTGTGTTTAAAAATGCAAGACGCAGATGATCGAGTAATATGAAAATGCAAGGTCTAGAGACGTGTTATTTAAAAGTTAAACTTTTAACTTGAGTGCCTTGTTTTTAGAACGCCATGTCATGCACGAGACAGCAAAATATGGCCAGCAGCCATATCACCCTGTAGCCCAAGACTGGTTGCCCACTGAAGCTAAGCAGGGTTGAGCCTCAGGGTTGAGCCCACTGAAGCTAAGCAGGGTCAGTACCTGGATGGGAAACCTCCTGTGGGAAAACCAGGTTGCTGCTGAAAGAGGTGTTAGTGAGGCCAGTAGCTCACCCTGTGGTCTGTGTGGGTCCTAACGCCCCAGTGTAGTGACGGGGACACTATACTGTCAAAGAGCACCGCCCTTTGGATGAGATGTTAAACCGAGGTCCTAACTCTCTGTGGTCATAAAAAATCCCATGTCTTTCGAAAGAGTAGGGTGTAACCCCAGCATCCTGGCCAAATTTGCCCAGTGGCCTCTGTCCATCATGGCCTCCTAATCATCCCCATATACTAATTGGCTTCTTCACCCTGTCTTCTCTCCACCAATAAGCTGGTGTAGGAAGGCGTTCTGGCGCAATATGGCTGCCGTCGCATCATCCAGGAGGATGCTGCACATTGGTGGTGGTTGAGGAGATTCCCCCCTTCTATGTAAAGCGCTTTGAGTGCAGAGAAAAGCGCTATATAAATGTAATGAATTATTTATTTATTATTATAAAATATTCGAGACACAAGAGCAACGGTCCATCCAAACACGTCCATCAAAAAATACATTCTGTGTGAACGGCCCTAAACCCTCACATAGTCAGGCCAGAATTGAGCAGTGATATTCAGTCCTGCTTGATGGGAAAAGGAAATGAATTGAAATGAGATTTCTAATGTTACTGTATAGCATTTTAATTTGATGATTGTATCAGGATCAAACCAAGGATGGATTAATGTCCTGCAAATCCCCCTTTTGATGCAATTGTGATTCATAATGTCTAAATAGCAGGAAATTATTCTGCAATTATGAGGAAAAAAGTCAATTTATAAAAGTGCAATTGCGAGAAAGCTATTGTCAGACCAGAATCCTTCCTTGGGTCTAATCGTTTTAGGACAGTGTTTTCAGGACCAACCATTTGATTCAGTTTACTGTAGCTGATTTATACTATGCAGGTTTTTTTCAGGTAAACAAGTGCTTCTCATAAATGGACTTCCTACTCATGGACTGGCTGAATTTAGTGTTGTTCATTTGTCTTAGTACACAGTGTTTGGCAGATCCCTCTGTCCTTTTCAAGTTATGAAAAAGCATAATTAAAGGAATAATTCCTCCATAATTAAAGGTATACGTATACAGTGTTTGGCAGATCCCTCTGTCCTTTTCAAGTTATGAAAAAGCATAATTAAAGGTATAGTTCAACCCCCCATCCCCATAAATTATGACGCTTTGATTTTTGGATGAACCGTCCCTTTAAGGAAATGGAGTGTGTAAATCAGTGAAACAAAATGTTAGACTGAATTAAACTAGTGAGAACTAGTGTAAAAGCAGGTTTTTTAAAGCCGATTTGAAATTTACATGTAGATGTAATTTCATTTGATTCGATTGAAATTTGATGTGTAATGTGATGAACAAGTTAGACTTTTTTTAACTAAAGAAGTGTTTGTCTTGAATATTCAAAAAACAACAGCATACAGAAGCATGGTAGCAATAACTCTTTTATTGACGCCCAACGGGTCTCGTTTTCAACTCCCATTGGTAGCAGATTTTTTTCTGATAACCCCCCATGAGTAAAAGCGATACAACATGTCCTATAATAAACATGTTGAGCCATTATACATTCCCCTTTTCTCTCTTCCACCCAATCATTGTCTTCCACCGCTCTCTCTCCCTCTCTCTGATGGACAGAGGACATTTCTTTTCCCAGAATGCATTGTGAACAGAAGAGGAGGGGGACATATCAGACAGAACATATACAAAAATTTCACACATAAAACATTTGAAACAGATGAAATCTCGCTCTTATAAAAAACAAAACTCCCACACGCACTTCTTTAGAAACACCCCAGCAATGATTATGGTAGAGAAATTAATTTCAATAAATATTAATAAATAAAATAAATTAATTTAATGTCTGTACAAGATAAAGTTATGCAGTCATAAATAAAATATAAAATCATGATTAGAAAAAGTACTGGAGCACTTTATGACAGGTAAGAGGTATAAAAGGGGTGACAGGACACTCTTTTTGGCAAAACTCATGGCAATACTATGACTAAAGAAATAAAGTCATATGATGAAGCATGATTTCCCTTTTTAACAGGAGCCTGATATTTGTAGATGATCTTACCATAATGACTGTATTTAACTCATATCACAATGTTCCTTTCTCTGAAGTATATTCAATACTTAACAGAGACCAATATTTAGGTATCTTAGAAACCATACAGTAGATGGATTAAATAGTTTCTCCTAAATAGCTGATTTGGGATCTTTGAGTAACTTTTCCCTAAGCAGTATTTGAATTATGATAAGACTGGATTATGAACAAGGTTTTGAATATGTCTTGAATATGATTGCAGGCTAATAACACAACTAAATAAAGGTCTCTTCACACAGCTTCAACAAACTTCAACAAATGCAGAGCAGTTTGGCCAAAAACACTTCAGAAATTGGTCAGGCATCTCATACAAGCATGAGTTTGTTAAAGAAATGTGTTTAGAGCAACCTAAAATCTTCCAGTCAAGTCACCCTTCTGAAAACAATCTCTTGATTGACAATCATTACGGTCCAATCATATCTTCTGATTTATAATTCTTTACGATTACAATCACTGTCTCTGGAGTCTCCCACCAATCCCATGTTTGGGCCAATATCTCCCACATTTACATGGGCCAATCCTTCTCTTCGTAGACTCTCTCCCGGTCTATCCGTGGGCGTGGCTTGTTGCATAAACACATGTTGGAATATAAAGATTGGAGTGGGAATGTTTGGGACTGTTTTGGCTCGGAATGGGTTTGAAAATGTTTTTTCGATCCTACCCATTTAAACATATATCCACACAATCATCAAAAACATCACTAGAGATTTTCTTCTTTGTTCTTTGATGAAAAAGATACAAAAGTATAAAAATGTTCTGTACAGTTTTGTTTCTCTCTCTCTTTCTCTCTGACCAGTCCTCTCAGCTGTTGGTCTGAAATCTGACAAAGGAAAATCATGGAAATCATCACCTCTGGTTTGATTTCCTGTCTGTTCTCAGGAGGGTGATATCTCAAGCCCTTGATGAACAACTTCACTCTCATGCCCTGAACTCTTTCCAGGGTGAAGTGGGAGTCCTGATCGCTCCGGTTGGCTATGTCCTGTGATTCTCTTGAGCCCATCTGCATAGGTGCATTATGGGGCTGTGAAGGAATCATCAAGATTGTCCGTCACTTCTGTTAACTCTACAAAGAGACAAAAGATGAAAGATGTCAACATCATGTACATACTTTTTTGAGGGGGCACCAGAGGCAGTCCTAGCTCACTTAGTGCCCTGTGTGAGATACCGTGTATATACACTACCGTTCAAAAGTTTGGGGTCGGTACGATTTTAAATACTTTTAAAAGAATTCTCTTCTGCTAACCATGGCTGCGCTTATTTGATTAAAAATACAACAAAAATCAGTTATAGTATTAAATATTATTCCAGTGTAAATCAGCTGTTTTCTGTGTGAATATATAGTAAAGTGTCATTTATTCCTGTGATCAAAGCTGAATTTTCAGCATCACCAGTGTCAGTGTCTTCAGTGTCAAATGATCCTTCACAAATCAGTATAATATGAGGATTTGATGCTCAAGAAACATTTATTATTATTATCAATGTTGAAACAGTTGTTGGTCTGTCAGTTGTACAGTTTTTTTTTTTTTTAGGATTCTTTGATGAATAGGAAGTTCAAAAGACTTTTGTAACATTATAAATGTCTTTACTGTCACTTTCGATCAAATTAATTATTCCTTGATAAATAAAGTATTGATTTCTTTCCTCCAAAAAATAAAAATAAAATTCTCACTGACCCCAAACTTTTGAACGGTAGTGTATATATATTATATACATCAATATACATTAATATTTTATTTTATAGCATTTATCATGCTGATCACTTGTAAATAACTACCTTAAAAATAACTTTTATAATAATATTATTCATTTATTATTATTAATTTATATTCTTTAAATAAAATAAATATCTAAATTACATTGAGATTATTAAATAATTAAATAATATATTATATTTATATATATATATATATACACAATTTGCAACTGATCACCATGGACTTTCGTTGTATTGAAAAGACCACCTTTGACATTTTGTAAATAGCTCCTTTTGTGTTTCACGGGGAAAAGTCATATGAGTGTTGTGAAGTGTGAGAATGGGTAGATGATGATAGACAGCAAACAAAGTTGCATTTTCATATCACTACCAGGAGAGAACTAATCAGTTTTATGAGAACAGAACCAAGGATGACCATAAAACAATGTGGAATATAAACGGACGCACAGTGAGACAAAAAATGGGCTGGACTTACTCAGAGTCAGGTGACACTTCAGAGACGCTCTGAGAGGTTGCAGAGAGAGGAGGCGGGGAAGGGGAAGGGCCAGCTGAGGCAGGGTTAGGGGGCGGGGTTAAGACAGAGGAGCTGAAGGAGGCGAGTATGGAGGAGAGGATATCCAGGTGTTCACTAGAGGGTGGCCGACTGGAT